TTGAATCCAATCCAAACACAGATATAAAATCAAGTACTAACATACACATATTCATATTCAGAAGAAAATAGAATACGTTGAATGATGAAAACAAAACAGAAGCAGATTCAACAAGTTGTTGTTCAGAACTTACCTTTAAGGGGCTTTCCAATTTCCATGGCTGAAAACTCATCTATCTGTCCTTCAAAACAAGCTGTACAGAGAAAGAGAATCTAATGTGCGTATGGGTTGGATCTGTGACTCTGAGGTTTCAATTTCATCTATTATTATTATTATAAACACAAGTGTTTAACATTAAAAATAAAATCAAAAAGATGGTGCAGAGAGAGAAAGACAGAGAGAGAGTTAATGCTTAATGCCAACTGGATGGTAATTAATTTGCAAACTACTAATAGCAGTATATACCACTAAATAATAGTAGTAGATAGATTTCTTTTTGTTTTATTTGGGTTGCTTGCTTTGCTTTAATGTTTAATCTCTCTAGCCTTGATGTAATGTAATGTAAAAATTTTTTTTTTTTTTTGAAAGGTTATAGCCTTGGGGTGGGGATTTAAACTGAGTCTTTAAAATGAGATGCAGCTACAAGCCTACAACATGAGTTATAGTTATTAAATGAAGAAGAATAGGTATAATATAATGTAATGTAAATGTAAAAAGAAGAAGAGAAAAAAATAATAACAAAATTGGGGGTTTTAGTTTTCACTTGTCACAGAAGCCAAAGATTGGTCATGGTCAGAGGAAAGGGGCATTGGAAGAAGAACCATAAATTGTTAGCTAGCGGATGGTAGTATGCATGAGAATTCAAAAATAGTATTAGAATAACAAAAAAAGGAATCTGTCTCCCATATTTATGCATTATCACCAGTGCCTGTACTTCTTTATTTTGCATTTTTCTCATACTATTATATTTGTGTGCATTGCAAGGTTTTTCTTTTCCATGAAAAACTGTACCCCCAATCTGACACAATTTGAAACTATCTGCACTGGAAATTGGACCAAGAACCGGTCCAACTCAACACTGTCTGGAAATTGGAGTAGTATTTTTTAGCTATATAAAAATGGGTTGAGGTTATTGCAACAAAATTTTTTTGTTAAAATTATTAATTTTAATTATAGTTTTATTAAATTATAATTTTTGAAAATAATTAATTATAACATTTAAAAATATTTTTATAAATTATTTTAAATATATTAAATAAAAAATATTAACTAATAATTATTTTTTTATATTAATCTCATGATATTCATTAATTACATTAAATCTAAAATAATTTGAATTTAGATCGCATCAGATTTTATAAAAAAAAATTTAAGAGAAAATTCTCTCAGCATTTATTTTTTCATTAAAATACTCAAATTCAAAATTTATTTAAAGAAATTTGATTTTTTTTATTCGGATCAACAAATTATTAGTATTAACTGATAATTATTAATTATTAATTATCTTTAACTTTCAAATTAAAATCACATAAAAAAAGTTGAAATAAAATAAAATTTTAATAATTTTTTATAACCTTAACAAATTTATTGATAATCATAGTCCTATCAATAATGGAGATGCAGTAAAAATGCAGGGACCTTTCTTTCCTGGTTTCCCATTTGAAATCAAGACCACTTGTACTAGTTGTAAGTAAAAGGAGTTTTGGAATTTCAATTTTTTGTCAGAAAAATTGGGTTGGGCCCCTGAACAGCAGACACATCCAATGTTAGGGTTATGATTCTCTTCACACACACATATATTGCTTGTTCCCATCGTAGTGTGTCTTCCATTTCCCATGCGCAACTTAATCATCTAAACTTTAATGCATTTCTTTTTTTTTTTTTCTAGAAGTGGATTAAAGATAACAGAACGTATAGAATGATTTGAGTCTTTTTCTTTTTCAAAGAATAATCAAGATTGAAAGGATTGTTAATTAGAAAAGAAAAACAACCTTCCCCAGTTAGCCACTTGTGCTCTTGAATTTTAAAATTTATGAATTATGAATATGGAGTTGATGGTGGTTTCTGTTCTGCGGTGAAGAATTGATATCCATGAATGTAATGCAACCCACCTCATCTTCCTTCATCTTAGAAAATCTTAATTAAAACAAACTCTCAAGTGCTCCCAGTTTATCAAGAAAAAAGACGCTAAAGAAAGCTTGTAACATAAATATAATTTATATATTCTGATAGATATATACTGGGACAAACTGGAAATTATTCCTCTCTTCTTTTTTCTTTTTTTTTTTTGGTGTGTTGGCTACGAAGTTATTACTAGTAGCTTCTTGATTAAGAACCTACAACTTGGTCCAGCTCCTTTGTAGGCCAATGTAGCTACTGTGCCCCTCTCCCCCCCAAAATGTTGTAAAGATCAAAGAAAGAGGTGACTCCCTCATCGCCACAAATGATGGAAGTTCGCATTAATTATAACATATCTTTTTTCTATTTTTTTGAATCCCCCTTTCTAGCTAATGTAACATGATTGATTATTGGCGACCAAAAAAGCACCATAATTCACCTCCCTTCTTAATAAGGCATCAAGTCCCACCAGCTTTGTGCTCCAACTTTTGAAGTCAAATTTAAAATTTTGGGGAGGGGGGGGGCTTCACTTTCGTCCCCCTAATTGCCACATTATTAGAACATGCACAAATGTGAGACCAACATTTCTTTCTTCTATTATATATCGCCATTATATGTATACATATTCATATTCATATAATTAATTAACAAATTGGTTAAGCTTCCACCTAACTTTTTTCCTCATCATCCCATGTACATCCATATAAGGGCTAACTTGGGAGTTTTGGGTGTCATCCACCGACATCTCAATCGATCTATACATTGGATTTCACCATTAAATTTCCAGACTTTATTATGTAGAAAGCAATGAATCCATTCAGCAAACATCTAGTGGTAAGATTAGAATAAAAGCATTCAAGTCTCAAAACGAAGAAAGTTCGGATCCCTGTCTTGTATCCATCTGGTTAAAAAAATATATAGGGTTGTTAATTATTAATTATTAATCATCAACTATCTCTTAATAGTAATTTTAAATAATTTTTCTTTTGTACATTTGATAATATTGAATTATATAAAAAGATATAACCCTCAATTTTCCCTAAATCTATCTCCGCTCTTCTTAAGATGTGGACTTAAGATCTCTAACTTGAAATTTAAACCATTATACCATTAAATCATTCTCTTAAGGGTTCCAAACACCCTTATATATAAGTTTAGTTTGACAATACTGATATATAATTGCAGCTGTAAATTTTTTAATCTTTTAATATATTAAAAATATATAAAACATATTTAATATTTACTATAATTTATATTTTATATATTTTTAAAATAATAAAAAAATATATAAAAACTAAAAATCAAAAGACCGAAAAGCGTTAACATCGAAATAATAGACGATGCAGGGTGTGTGGTGGTGACATAGTAAATAACCATATAATAAAGGCCCAGCCCATTAGAGACAGAGCCCAGAAAGAGATCGGGCTCATAGGGATGGAATA